CTTGTGGGATAACTGATCAAACCTCTGTCTATTACATTTTGTTCTCTCCCCCTTTCCAGCTAATTACATCTTCAATCACTTCTTCTGTATTATTTTTAATGTAACCCGAAGGATCTCAGCTGTACATGACAAATCAGAAACAATAATAAGATGCCCTACATATTGCACTAGCAAAGCTCCATACTTTTAAATATAAATATGCCTATTGGTGTAAGCCCCATTTGAATAAAGAACATTACCTTGTCTCTCGGGGGAAGCACTGGAAGATGGGATAAATATAAGGCATGTATTTGTGAAAAATAAAAGCAACATACACATTTCAGAATATCACAAGAACCTGAGTGTTCCCCCCCGCCGCCCCCCCCAATGGATGTGCGTTGCTGCACTTCATTATCATAGATGTCTGGGGAAGCCCCAAGCAAAAGGTTCAATCTTGCATTTTCATGGAGGCATAGGGTGCATTGAAATATGCCTAAATGTAGCCTATATCGTTATGCTGGGTAGGAGGAGACACCAAGGAATGGGCCAATTAAAACAGAGACTGATTCCAGTTTACACAGAGGCTGTTTTGCATCACTCTACCCATGGAAAACAGCCTTAGGATATGCATTTTAAGGATTCCAAAAGGGAATCAATAGATGAATATTTGGGGGAATGGTACCTATTAACTGATAAGCAACCCAAACAGTCCTTCCGAGAAACGAGTGATGGAGGGCCAAGTCTTTTAAGCCTTACTCACACGAATTAACATCCTACCGGTGTGACTCTAGATCATTCATGGGAATAAGAGTTGCAGGATCAAAACATTTAACTGAAAACTTTCACGCACACACCCAAACAAATGTATAAAACCTTCAGAACTAGTACAGCGGTAGTTTCAGCAAATGTTCTGAAGGCAAGATATTGGAGGGGGACACAGCGCACGTTTACGATAAATGCTGTTGCACTCCAGGGCTAATCAACGACAAGGAACACACTGTATAAAACATGTAAATACGAATACGTACAGAATATATAAACAAGTTGTTGCAACAGTTTCACATTGAAGCAATAGTACATGCAACCTTTAAAAAATGCAAAAAAAATCCCCCCAAAATGGATAGTCATAAAAAGATATTGAAGTCAAAGGGAGTTTTGGACATGCAACGAATACAGGACTGAGTCCACAGATATTGTACAGTATTCATATCCAGATTCTACAGTCCTTGCACAGGCAAAACCCCTATTAGAGTCAATGAAAGCTTTGCCTATGCCTAGACTTCAATATTGGGTTTACAGAACACAGAATGTAGACAGATAGAGAGCCAGGTCCTGCAAGTAACTGAACACCCTGTTTCCATTGAATTCACCATGGGATACAATGGGCCAAATTCTAAAAGGAGCTAAGCATGGGTCTCCCATCAAAGTAAATGGGACAAATCTTGGACTCACTCCTCATTGAATCACATGGGACTTTTACCTGAATAAGGACTGAATAAAAACAGAGCAAGAGGACTTCAAGATTTGACCCAAGAGAAGTTGAATGTCCTCTCACCTTTTAGGAGATGACCACCTTGTTCTCACACTACACAACACCACTGACTTCATTAGGTTTGCATGACTATAAATGAGAATAGAATTTAATTCTCTTCAGAGTTACTCTTGACATAACCCAGAAGAGGGAAGCTCAAGTGCTTTATAATGTCACCAAAATCTCAGAATTTTTCCTTGTTTTACTGCTGTTATTCTCAAAAAAATGTATGGTCCTTAGGGGGAAAAAATAAGTATAATCTTGAAGGTATTTCCCTTGAAAAACATTATCTCACAGAAAAAGCAATGTGGACTCTCTATCCTCCTCTGCTGGATTTTGAAAGGTATTTGCTTCCCTTCCCTTCCCTCTCTCCTGTGCCCCAAACTTTCTCTCAGTAGAAAATGAAATCAGAACCGATCTCCAAATTTAATCAACTAAGATTCTATTCCGATGGCAAAGTAAGAAATGCTGACTTTTAAAATGCACATTTTAGAAACCAATTCTAACCATTACTAATGTGCTTCCTGAATACTTCCTGTACATTCATGGGTGAAACACAGCATGACTGTTTGTAAACAAAATTAACTATATGCAATTGATTAATTTTTGCACACTACTTTAAGAGCCCAATTCTACAGTTTTGTGCAAGAGGACCCTTACATCTCTCAGAGCCCCACTAGGGTCAATGGACTCAATGTGAGGATCCAATCCTGTGGGAACAGTGCAAGATTGGGCCCACTGAGTGCTATATAATTGCTAAATATTATTATCGTTATTGCTATTTTATTAGTCACACAAGAAAACTCATGAAAACCAGACTTTTGTAACTGGGAAATCTCTAACAAGGGGAATATCTAAACTAAAAAAAATTCTACTTGATTCTGTAACAATATCACAGCTTGTTATTATGGAAATCCTGGAGATTTCACAAAATTCCACATCCAGACTCTTGCTGCTGGATGAAATAGGAAGGAGGGGAAAAAGAGTTGTGAGACAGAAATTTGTTTAAAAAAAATCTTGGATGACTAGCAAAGCTAGCAAAGAAAATTTGGGAATAATACATGAAAAGCTAACAGAGTTATGGTGTGATTAAATGTATTTTCAAAGCCCTCCTTCTCTTAGCATGGAAGTTCCTCTTTGACTGATCTCCCGACTCATTTCTAAATATTTCCTAACTGCCATAGAGAAACTGCATCAGACCTTTACAGAAGATAGCACACTCCAATCCCCTTTCTGCCGAGACGGCAGTGCTGGACAGCCTGTCAGGCAGAGCCACGTGCAGTCTGTCTGTCCAATGCAACCATCCCCAAGATCTGCACCGGGACCCCATACTCTGCTGTGTAGGACCAGGGCACAATTATGTCCACCAAAAGTTTTTCTAAAGCACCCATCCAGTGGGACTTGCACACCATTCCCTAAAATTAGAAGGAAATAAGTTCCCTCAAGGAGGAGAGGTGAAAAAAATCCCATCTGTCCCCAAACAGAGTGAAGGTTCTTACAAAAACAACAAGGAGTCCGATGGCACCTTAAAGACTAACAGATTTATTTGGGCATAAGCTTTCGTGGGTAAAAAACTCACTTCTTCAGATGCATGGAGGTTTTTACAATGTCCAGGGCCCAGTTCTGTAGTCCCTCCACATTAAAGCCAATGAGAGTTTTGGCTACGCAAGAGATGCAGAATCAGGACCATTGTGACACGTGGAGTGAATGCTGAACACGGGATTTAGGATGGTGGCGGTCTCTGTTTTGAAATTTATTTTTGAGGATTTGGGTTATCCATTATATACTGCCTCAGTGTGTGGTATGTTTCAACATGTGAAACAGACATATGTTGCAAGGGAACAACCTGGGAAGAAACAGGTGCGGGAATACAGGAACAGAAACACGGTATCCACTGCTCACATGCACTTCCCTTCCTCTCTTTGGGTCATTGATGTGAATCCCAAATCCGCCCCTGCTCTTCTGAAGAAGGTAACCCACTTCTTTTCCTTCCACTACAGGAGCCAGGTAGTTTCTTCCCATCATCAGAAGTATTCCCTTCACACCTTGTCCCACTTAAAAGAGAGATTGGGCCAGAGGCTCAGCAGATGTCAACCGGAATAGTTCCATTCAAGTCAGTAGCATGACATCGATTCACACCAGCTGAGGATCTGGCTTTATGCATTGAAACATTTTCTATGGACAGGGCACTACCATGGTTCCCAAGGAGGAAAATATCTTGGGGGTTCATCTCTACATATGCAGGTATTTACATGCCGTAGGAGCCACTCCCTTATCAAAATGTGTTGTCTTCACAGGCATCTTAAAGATATGGAAGAAATGTTTATCAGATCACTTTTCCTATTGATACTCACAGAAGTAGAAGGCAAAAATAAGGAAAACAGCAGCCCTGTCCTCAGTCAAGTGGGGAAAGTGTCCCTTGTATATGCCACACTCTTACACATACCCTTCCATCGTAAGAATAAAGATGCAGCCAGCACCAGCTCATTTTGCCTCTTGGGGAGACTCCAGCTCCTTTCATCTCCTGAGGTTGATTTCAACATGCCTCGCAATAACTCATCGTTCATGCCCATTAGTGACCCGAGTGTCACCTCAGCTGTTTGTGGTACATGCACAGAAAGAGCAACCATCAAAACAACAACACCCCTTCCCCACCCCCCTGCTCTTCTGTTGAATACAGCACACAGGTCACTTTTTAATCTGCTGGTGAGGCATAGGATGGAGTCCCTGGGGGCTGTGACGGAGCAGCAGGGAGTGGAGTGTCATGTCCCAGCTGCATATGTGAATCCCCTCAGCTCATCAAAATACAGCCCAATGTCTACTTGAGAAAGCAATCCACCCACACAGATCTTAACACGGAGGGACAGGGAGCCACATGTATCAGCAGCACGGGGCTGCAAACATATATACACAGAGAAACAACAGACCCATAAACACACAAAGAAATACACAAATACACACATGCATCTAGCCTGTCTCACTGCTGGTGTCGCTCCCATTATACACCCCCGCACACACACACACACGGAGTAACACAAACAGACCCACAACACACACACACACAGAGTGAGACACACAAAGAAATATACATGCAAAGGCAACCAAGATACACCCCCCCCCACCCCCAACACAGCCACAGAGGGAGAGAACTAGCCATGGCAAATATTTACATGCATGCAGATCCACACTCCCATATCCACACCCACACCAACCAACCCTTCTGTGTCCTTCCACAGCCAGCCCCAGACTCACCCCACACCCAGCGGCCAAGCCCCCTTTGTCCCCACATGAAAGGGAATAAAAAAATTAAAAGTTTGCTGCTGCCAAAGCAGGTGGGGGCTGCACCCTGTCAGCTGAGGAATTAAAGGAACCCCCCCCCATCCTTCTCCCCCAAATCTGCCTCCAGACACCTCCTCCCCCAGCCAACCCCTCCCAGCGGCCCCCTAGCAGCCCGGATCCCTGCAAAAGGAGCCCCCAGCCCCTGACTCACCTCCAGCGCAGCCTCCCCTCGGTCTCTTTCTTTACGGGGCTGTCCAGCTAGGAGCAGCGGCATCCAGGCAGCCTGCTGCCCGCCGCCCCGCTCCCCAGCCAAGGCATGGTGACCGCGGGGCGCCTGGGAGGGCCGGCCCGCGGGCCGGGCTGGGGCTGCGGGGGGGGGAAAGGGGGCGATCCCGCCTCCTGCTCCTCCTGCTCCTGCCGCGGCTGCTGCCCGAGGGCCAGGCTCCGCTGTTTGTTGAGCACCAGGACCAGCCGGGCAGGAGCGCGCAGGCGCAGGGGAGGGGACCCGGGGCTTTCCACCTCCCGAGCCCGGGGCGACCCTGGGCGGAGAGCGGGGCGCTGGCTGCCTCCCGCCCCGCCGCGCCGAGCCCGGCTCCCCGGGCGCCCGCCCGGCCGGTCCGCCTTCCCGCTCACCTGCCTCCCGGAGCAGGATCTTCCCCGTGCCTGGCAGGCAGCCCGGGAGAACCGCCAGGGGACGCCTCGCTGCGTCTTTCCCCTGCAAACTCGCGGGGCCCCGCTCGCACCGTGCGACACCCAGCCCGGGGCTGCGGCGGCGGCGGCGCCCAGCCTCCGCTCTCTGCCCTTTTCCTGGCGCGGCAAGCCCAGGGGGGCTGGGGCTATGACCTGCCAAGCCGAGAGGTGCCAGGCCCCAGCCCTGGCAAGCCCCCGGCACAATCTCAGCACTGGGTGCTTGGCTAAATCCCGGCGACCGCTAGGCTTGGCCAAATGCGACGTCGGTTGTTTTTCCTTTTCACAGATCGTATCGATGTTTGGTTTTAAGCAGTTTCACACACTCACCCGATTTTTATCGATGTATATGTTCAGAGTTGTGGGACGTGGGCCAGGGGGGGTGGGGGAGAGGCATCAAACAATGCAGAAGGGTCAGACAATAACGATCCCATAACAGTTGAGCTGCAAAAAGTGTTAACTGTGACAATGCAGTGTCAACGTCGCATGTCAAAAGATACCAAGGCAAGAGCCTTAAATCAAACTCTAAATTCTCAAACAGCTTTGGGCTCTGAGCAGGGGGGTGGACTAGATGACCTCCTGAGGTCCCTTCCAACCCTGAGAGTCTATGATTCTATGATTCTTGCTTTGCCTGTCTATTATCGATGGGAATATTTTTTCCTCAATTTGTGCATGTACGGAGAAATCGACATTTACCAGTAAAAATCGAATCCTCCCAAGCTGATCTATAGCACCATATTTATTGTAGGCAGTGTTGCAGCTATCCTGGCTCCCCCTCCCAATCAGTGGGGTTTCACAAATACAAAATACAGCCAGGCAGCAACACTGGGGAGCAAATGGAGCATGGAATTGTCTCCAAATGATCTAGGAGTGAACACTTAATGTTTGCAGCCCTGATCCTGCAAGCAGATCTTGACTCCGTGTTGGCTGGACCCATGTGTAGCCCCCATCACAGTCAATGCCTGCATGGAATAGAGTGAAGGTTCAGGGCCAATCATTCTAACTTACATACAGATAAAAGGTGCCATGCACTTTCCTATGCATTATAAAGACTCAGTACAATCAGGGCCACAATCAGTGATATTTCCTAGGGTTTGCTGATTTGGATTTTATTGTAATAAGAGATGTAAAGGCCCCCAATCACGCAAGTCCTTCCTAACATGAGTAGCCCTTATTCATACAAATAGTCTCACTGAATGAAGCCCATGGGACAGTTCACCTGAATCAAAGATGGCAAGACCCAGCTGCTGGTGTAGCATTTCTGAATCTTAAATACTTTATAGGGTTATATAATATAATAATGACTTACAAAATGACCCTTGTGTTAAATTAAAATTTGCCTGCAGCCCACACACTCCTGCTATTATCATCCAAGAGAGGTAACAGAAAATGTTACTGATGCTTTAAAGAAACTAACTTCACATTATTTTCAGCTTCCCACACAGGCAGTTTTTGGTTTGCTCCAGCTGCTGGGTCTTTGTCCCAAAGGAAGCAAGGGTGGAGGGTCCAGTGATTAAGGTGCTGGGTCTTCCAAGTCCTTCAATTCCCTGCTCTGCCACAGACTCCTTGTGTGACCCTGAACAAGTCACTTAGCCTCTTTGTGCCTCAGTTGCTCATCTGTGAAATGGGGATAATATCACTCCCCCACATGGGTGTGGTGCAGATAAATACATTAAAGATTGTGAGGCACTCACACACTACAGTAATGGGTGCTGTGTAGGTACCTACACAGGTACCTAACTCTTATATTGCACTTTTCCTCCATAGATATCAAAGTGCTTTATAAAGGATGTTGGTATCAGCCCCATTTAACACAAGGGGAAACTGAGGCACAGAGAGGTGCTATGACTTGCCCAAGTTTACCCAGCGTGTCAGTGGCAGGGACAGAATCTAACAGAATCCAGGACTCCTGTGTCCCAGTCCACTGCTCCATCCTCAGGGCTCATGAGACCCAGTCCAGTGTTCTGTCCATGAGGCCATATTGCCTCCTACAATACCTCAGACAGACAGATTTATCTCATTGTCTCAGATTGAGTAAACTGGTTTGGAGAAGAGTCACCCACTTTAAACCAAACTTGAACTTTTGGAGCTTCAGATACATATCTTGTTTCCTATCTTCTCCCCTTTCACAGCTCTCTCATGTGGCCAATTGATTCCCCCAGCCGCATCTGGATTATGGAAGAAATAACAGCCGAAAAGCACAACAGCTGTTTCCCCACTCGCAGCAGTCGGAAAGTGAAGTGGAAGCAGCGCAGGAAAGCTGGATCTCCTGTTTTTTCCCTGGCGCCTATGCTCATGCAGAGTTCTAACCTGCTTCTAATTTCAGGGAAGCGCAGCAAGGGGTGAGGTTTTGGTTTGTGAATGTGGGTGGTCGTGTGGCTTGCCTGAACCAGCAGCAGCAACAAGGGCTATTTTTAGCCTAAAGTAGGCCAGGCAGCCCCAGAAGAAGCTTTAATAGGAAGAATATTTTTCAAGGAAAATAAACAAAAATAATAGAGAAAGGTAAAGAAGAGTGATCATTGAGCAGTGCTCCACACTAACAGCTGCTAAACAGGCATTCAGACAACCTATACGCTGTATTTTAGGAAACCTGCCTCTTCCCCCCCCCCCAAATAAATAAAAGTCAACCTTTCAAAAAACTAAATGTAGCTTTTGGAACAACTGAATACCACTGATGGGGGCAACACTCCAAGGCTGGGATTTTAAAGAGAAAAAGTATTATTATTTATTACTGTATTATCATCACACACAGGAGCCCCAGTCACAGAGCGGGACCCCATTGTGCTAGGTGCTGTACAAACACAGAACAAAAAGGTGGTCCCTGCCCCACAGAATTTACAGTCTAAGCTTAAACCCTGAAGCAGCAGTGTATCCTCATTCAGCAAGGCTTTCAAGAACATGCCTGACTGTAAGTATGCACCTAAGTCCCATTGAATTCAATAGGACTTAATTACGATTAGGATTAAACACATGCTTCAGTGCGTTGATGAATCAGGGGCCTAAGTCAGTGAGGTGCCCAAATCCAGTTGAAATTCAATGGGAACTGGGTGCTACCTCCTTTGCGCCCCTTTGACAATCCCAGCCCAGGTTCAGTAGCGATTTGTCATTTAGTGGGCCCAATTCTGGTCTCAGTGTGGTGCAAATTGCTAGTATCACTGTAATTTTTCAGATGGTTATCATCAATAATAAATGAAAGAGTCATCATCTCCAACTATAAGGAGAGTCTCTCAAAATATTCTTTTCTTCTTTCATGTCACCTGGCGGCTCCCTCTTCCGGAATTAACATTTGAAATATTTAGCTCATTACTGTGAGATTTGACACTACAGGTTTTGCTGTGTTATGGAATTATCCTCCTCCTACTGTGAGTTGTATCCTGGGACACCCACAGTATTAAAAACAATAGTGGCCATAGTCAGTCAAACCACCAGTTCAGCTAATTTAATATCCTGATTCTAGCGATGCCTAGTACCTCATGTTTAAGAGAAAAGCATTACCAACAACTCTGCAGTACATTTAAGATTTAATCTTGTAAAGTGATCCACCCTCTGATTTATGTGTAAGCATGTGAATAATCCCATTGAAATCAATGGACTACTCTCATGCTTAAATTAAGCATGTACTCAAGCTCTTTGCTGGATAAAGGCCAGAATCCTGAGCAACTTGCAGTATTGTGCTCTTAGAAATTTGCACTGTGCTGAACACAATGGGAAAATGTATTTCCTAATCCATATTGGCAATCAGATTAGATCCCTTGGCGTGAAATTATACTTATTTTAGCATGCAGCCCTACTTTAAAATCCAGCAACTATAAATGACTCAATAACCTTTGCAGCAGTATCAGTATATGTCAAGAGAATAAATATTCCCTAAATTTGTTTACCCTTAATTTCATCAAGTGATCTCTTGGGACAAGATAAAAAGAAAGAACCGCTCAATTTCCACAGCTCAATTTTCACTTTATTCTTCATAGTCATAAATACCTCATTCAAGTCCCCTCTAACTTGTTTGTATCCCAGTCATTATGCAGAGTGTTTCACAGTGAAGACACTCCAAAGTTCTAGTGGACTTGAATTTGAAATAGGTCTTTATTATTACGATATATTAGAAGACACACAAGTTCTTGGAGTTTTGGGAGATACATTGCGATATCTACATTTTATAATGTTCTCGCAGAGAATTGTCTCAAAACAGAGGGCAAGATTTTTGTTAATGGGTCTGTGACCCTAAGGACCTCTTTATGCCAAAGAGTGCACTGCTGTGTAACAATAAATCCCAGCCGGTCTGACAAACTCACTATGCCCAACACACAGAATATTTAGCCAAACTCTGTATTGTAAGGTATCATCTGATAAGGGGTGACATTCTGGTCATGAATAGCATGGTGTGATATATGTAGGGGTTGTATATAAGAAGTTCTTTTTCCAGCACACATACATGTTCTTGAAACATGTTGTGGAAGCAGTTGGTAAACAAGCCTGCCTTAGACAGAGGAGTGTGGATTTACCTGTGTTCACAGATCAACTGACAGGCAGATGAGAAAACAGCACGGCCTGATTACAAGCAAAGGCCAATAAAAGTACATGTTTATCTAAGGTAAACTAGGCAGTCAAGAAAGCAAATGGACCAGAGGATGAAGAAGGGGCTTGGGACCAGCCAGCCAAAAAGCACGCAACAGGGGAGAGGAA